AGACTAGAGACCGCTTTCTGACTGCCTTCCTCTAATTGAAACTCCGCACAGCCCTCATCCGGAAGGGATGAATGACTCTAAATAAAATCCATCTAAATTCAATCTTATATAGAAGCTTTAAAATCTTATTTCAATGTAAAAAGTCACTTTGATTCTCCATTTTTTTCTTTCCAATAATTCCCGGGTGATCCTGCCATGAAAGTAATTTTTTAGGCACTTCCTGTTCAGGGCTGACATCTGTCTTCTAGTTGCTGTCCCTCGTTGCCGTGTGCCACGCGTCCCGGGAGAGACCTCAAACATTGCACTGTAACTGGCAGGGTGACAACACAGGAGGACAATTGGCAAGCAGGGACAGGGTGTTGTCACCTTACAAATGCCTGAACAAGGACCTCCATGGCAGGATAGTTCTATAGCTTAAGAGATTACTATTGCTGGGACATGGTCACATGATCTCCATGACTGAGAGCGCAAAACCAGTTCCTCTGCGTTGGTCACATGACCCGCCAGTCACAATGTAGCTGTTTTTGGTTTGTTTATATCGGAATTTCGTCCTGTGGTGTCACAGCCCCGCCCCCGACTCATAGTGCAGGACCATCAAACACACCTACCAGCATGGACCATGTGAAGGATGATACTCCCGGGATAGGTGACGTCTTATAGGCTGACTCCGAATGGTGGGAACCCCTCATAATGGGCACAGCGGGTGTACAGACCCGGGAACTCAGCACAGGGATGGTGGGAGCTCCTCATAATGGGCACAGCGGGTGTACAGACCCGGGAACTCAGCACAGGGATGGTGGGGGCCCCTCATAATGGGCACAGCGGGTGTACAGACCCGGGAACTCAGCACAGGGATGGTGGGAGCTCCTCATAATGGGCACAGCAGGATTTGAGGGACCATATTGTGATGTGTAGACGACTGGGTCAGAGCAACTCCAAACCTGCAGCTCTTGTGGGATGTTCCCGGACTGCAGGGGTCAGGGCCGACCAAAAGTGATCCAAGGAAGGATAACCAGTGGCAGGGTGCTGGGTGGCCGAGGCTCATTGATGGATGTGGGGGGTGAAGGAGGCCGGTCACCTCACAACTGACAGGACTGAAAGGATCTGCTACTGACGGCTCGGTGCCATATACCACAGCACACCTTCAGAGGTCTAGTGGAGTCCATGCCTGGGCGGGTCAGGAGAAGGGGGACCTCCTTAGTAGGGATGAGCCGAACACCTCCCGTGTTCGGTTCTAATTAGAACTTTCAAACTCTATGTAAGTCTATGGGGGGGGTAGAACTTAGAAAATGAAATGTCCCCTGTGGGACATGTATGGGGGTCCGGGTACTGCCCTGGGGAACATGTAT